AAACCCGGCGAGAGTTTACAAGAATTCGAATCAGAAGTTAAAAGGCTAGTGAGTTTGGCGTTTCCTGCAGCTGGGGAAGACATGCAAGAATGGAAGGCAGTATCTGCATTCATTGATGGTATCAGAGATTCCAAGATCCAGAAAAACCTAAGAATGTCTAAGTTCAGATAAAATAGCGAAGCCCTTGTCCGAGCATTGGAACTGGAGGCAATCTTTGGTACCTCACGACCCAGGATACAAGCAGTGTCCATTGAAGACCCAAAAGATAAACAGTTGTCAAAAGAGAATGGTAGCTTCGAGACTGTAATGAGTAATTTCATGGAAAAAATTAAGAGAATGGAGAAACTATTACGAGAAGGCAGACAAATGGGAGACAACTCCGACCAAACACCAACACCGAGAAACCGAGTAAAATGTGGCCGGTGCCAAAAGCTTGGGGCACATGCAATGGGATTGTAGACTCAGGATGTCCTCTCCATCTGGGCATCGTTATCAACGCTTTTCAAGATCTAGAGACGCCAGCCCTAATAACAGACAGAAATCAACTAGTACGGAGGGGAGGATGCTTGCTGGCTAGTTATGACAGAGCCCCCAGGGTTGTGTACATAAAATCATTGGGCAGTCATTATAGAGGATTAAAATACGAAGGACAAATTGATGGAGAATTGAAAACCATCACTTTTGATACGGGTGCTGAAGTTTCCATAATTAGAAAAACATTAGTCAAGTCTAGGGCAATCCAACCGCTCATTAGAAACCTGACACTACGAACAGTCACCGGCGAATCTGCACCAGTTCAAGGAGAAGCTATGATTGAGCTTACTTTTGGATCTACCACCTTCAGGCACAGAACATTAGTCGCCGATATAGAAGATGATTTTATTTTGGGAAGGGATTTGATCGGCCAACATGGTTTCTCTTTTGATCCTACCATGAATATCCTTAAATTTGGTAATGAAGAAATTGTCCTAACAACACAAGAAGAATCCGAAGCCGTTAAGATCTTGGCCACAACCCCAGTGAGGATTCCTGGAAGTACTGAGAAGTTCATTTGCGGAAGATTAGAAACAAACCCTGGGTGCTGCGTTGGACTAACACGTAATTTTATTGGAGATAAACCAGAAAGACTTCTTGTTAGGAAGACTCTAGTAAGCGATGGATGTAGCCGGACCGTTTCCAGAGTCAGAGCGTGGTAACAAATACATCTTAGTTATCATGGATTACTTCAGTAAATGGCCAGAAGTTTTCGCTATTCCCAATCCAGAAGCCATCACTGTTGCCCAGGTGCTAGTGGACGAAGTTTTCAGTCGTCATGCTGTGCCACTAGAGTTACATTCAGACCAGGGACGAAACTTCGAATCTGCCATCTTTGAGAAAATTTGTGAGATCATGGGCATTCGTAAGACAAGGACAACACCTTTACATCCACAGTCTGATGGCATGGTAGAACGATGCAATAAGACCATAGAGGAACACCTGACAAAAGTGGTCGCAAGGAACCAGCGAGATTGGGACAAGCATTTGCCTCTATTTTTAATGGCTTACAGAGCAGCTGTTCACGAGTCAACAGGTGAAACTCCAGCCAGAATCGTTTTTGGAAGAGAAATCAGGTTACCTTGCGTTCTGATGTTTGGGATACCTGAAGAAGAACGAAAAGAAATTCGAGACTATGCCGACGAAGTAAGGGCACGACTTCTGGGTATCCATGATTTTACTCGAGAGCATATTCAACTAGCCAGTGACCGGATGAAGACCAGATACGACCTAAAAGCCAATTCAATCGGATTTCAAGAAGGTGATTTGGTGTGGCTGTATAATCCAGCTAGAAAGAAAGGAATATCGCCGAAATTGTCTTCAGCATGGGAAGGACCCTACAAAATAATCAAGAGGATCAATGATTTGGTTTATCGAGGCCAACGCAACACCAGGAGTAAGATGAAAGTTGTACATCTGGACAGGTTAACGAAATATCATGGGCGTGAAGTTGATCGGGACGATCAACCTTAAGAGGAGGGCAGTGCAACGGCCGCCAGTGTGTCAAGAATCCTGTACAGAATTGCATAGCAAATTCGAGATTTCACGTGATGTTCGGGAACAAGGTCGAACGCGGTTCTTCTGGAATTTACAGCAATAAATTACGGCTATATATAAGGACGGGTTTTAGCTTGTAGGTTGAAGTTTCAGTTTGACTGTGATACGATTTAAATAGTGATTATTATTGCGAGTTGTAAGAGTTTAGTTGTTGAGTTAGTTATTAAAGTAATTAGTGTCAGAGTGTATTGTTAAGTGGAATAAATTATTGCTGTGTTAATTGGACTTTGATTTTTGTAATAAACGAAACGAACCCAAGATTTCTGTCCGGCAATCCAAAGCCGTGACAATACTATGAGACAATGTCCTCTCATGTAATAATTCAAAAGGAACTAATTTTTTTTACTATATTTATACCAATAATTAATCGTAAACCTTTTATAGTGTATAAATTATTTCCTATACACATCCAAAATTATACAATTAGTGTTAAGTATCCTTACCTTTTACTTACCACCAGGGATTCATCAAGCCAAGTAGCTTGAATTTTTTCTTAAATACTTGACTTGACTTGAAAACTCAAGCTTTTGAAAATTTGATATTTGACTTGACTTGATTTTCGGTCTGAACTACTTGACTTGATATCAAGTAAAATCAAACTACTTGATATTACTTGATAGCGATCTGTGAAATGCGCATCGCAGCGTTAAAATAGGGGATTCACCAAGGTTACAGCCATTCGTTCCTGGGGGGTCAAGCGCCCTTTAGGCAGGGGCGTACATCCTATTGAGGGGGAGGGGGTTGCAACCCAAATTTCCCAACTTTGTATTAACTTAATAACCATACCCATTACATACTCCTAACTCCTAGTTCAATAAACTAAAAATAATTGAAATACATAATAACAGTGGCGGCTATAGGATTTGGTATTGGGGGGGGGGGGGGGGGGGGAGGGGCGGGAATTCAGCATATTTCGTATTTTTATTTCATTTATTATTTAACTGAGTAACTTTTCGTTTTTAGATGTTTTTTAAATAAAAGATTACATCTATATAATTAAAACGAAACAGGCTAAGTATCTGATGCCACGTTTATTTTTGAAAAAATTCGCTTGGACACGTGATTTGGTTGTTGAAGTTTCCTGCAACCATTTTTAGCACTTCAACTTTAACCCTCTAGGCGGGATGGGACCAATCCTTACTATTCCAAATGGAACCAGGGGTCGAGTGGTACCTCTTTTAAAAGAGCGTTCAATTCTCTTTCATTTAATGTCATTTGAAAGAAAATTGAATACTCTTTTAAAACAGGTATCACTCGACCCCTGTTCCATTTGGAACGGTAAGGGTTGGTTCCACCCCCCCTAGAGGGTTAGGTTAGTGCTGAAAATGTTTCAAACACTCACACAATCAAATTACGTGTACGAGCGATTCGAAAATAAAAATGATATCAGATATTTTGTCTGTTTCATTTCAAATGGTATACCTTGTATACATAGATTTTTATTGTTATTGCGTTTTGGCGGTTAATCAGATTAATATCAAAAAAGTACTATTTCTTCAAGAAAAATCAAGTAGTTAGCTTGAAAAACTTGATTTTCAAGTTACTTGATGTGTAACTAAATTTCAAAACCAAATACTTGACTTGATTTTGACTTGATATCAAGTCAAGTCAAGTCAAGTAGCTTGAAAGTCAAGTCGTGAATCTCTGCTTACCACAGACACGTATTGCAAGGCTCTACAAAAATGTCGAAATATTCAAGACATTTATTTGTGCAAAATGGAACTATTGAAGCAAGATGAGCCGTGTGTTCACGATATTGTATCTAGTGGACAACAATTATGCCCATTCACGAAAATTCAATACGAAAAATAGACAGAGTTGAAGAAATACCCAATAATCAAGTACCTATTGGTTATTCCCAAACGACATGTAACAACAATGCTGCAATGTGACCAGAAGAAATACATGGAAATCATTTCCAGTCCAATCGTAATTTCCAAAGGTACCTAAATGTTCAATAACAATTTATAGTCGAACATTTTTGGAAGACACGCATGAGAACTTCAACCTAGAACTAGAACTACCCATCATCGATATTCCTAAACGTCTAGACTAGTCTAGAGAATACCACAACTGTAAGACTAAAAGCAGTCGACCATGAAGCTCTTCCATCAGCGATTAAAGAAGCAAACAAATTAAAGACTGACCCATTAAAAAAGTTGGATTTTGAAACCAATAATGTGTCACTATCAACCTATATTATAATCATAGTATTAAGTTTTATTTTCATAACAATGATTTTTATTCTATATTTTAAAGGAAAATGTAGTAAAACTAAAACTGAGGTGCAGATTGAATTGCCCAACATTGTTAGTCAATCCCAATTTGCAACCACTTAAGGAGGGAGGAGTTATATTATGAAACCCTATGTTATTATTATACAAATGATTCCCTTTTTCAATGTTAAACATATAAGCCAATGCCACTGTAAAAGCCCACGATATTATAAAGATGCTGAGTAAGCGGACTGCCTGGAAAAGTACCGTCATATCAAGGTTTCGCCTACATGATTGCAAGCATCAGCAGTATTTTAATATAAATACGGCGCGCAAAGGCTTCTCTCGCATTCTCTTGTTTTGTAGCTTAGGTTATAGCAATTAGAATCAAAGATTCTGTTGTTCTTGGTTTTCTGCCGCAGCACTTTAGAATCTAGTATTTTTACTGAACGACAAATACAATTAGCATCTACTCCGAATGTTTGATTTTTTATTCATTCATTTCATTCCCGATCCACTATCCTGATCTGTAGGCTGTAGCATTTCGCATTCTAGCATATCTAATCAATTGGTAATTGATAATTAGTTGCTAAGTGGCTGATCTTCCTTTCTGTGTAGATTCCTTATTCCTTAATATTAGTTGTTTGAAACCAATTTAATTACAACATCTAAAACAAATTTTGTTGTTTATAGATGTTAATACAAGTAAAGGATTTATCAGCAAATGTCTCTTGGCCAACGCAGATACTTTATGTGCTGCAGTTAGCCCACTGATGGACCCAGAAGAAACTTTAATGGAAGGTTTCTATGAGCGGTGCGTTATGAATAATTATTTTGGAATCGGTATCGATGCTAAGATATCACTTGATTTCCATCACAAACGTGAAGGTAGATTGATGAAATAGGACAACTAACTATGTAATAATTCAATTTATTGCAGAACATCCTGAAAAATGTCGATCTCGTGCTAAAAATTACTTATGGTATGGTGTTTTGGGTGGAAAAGAACTGGTCCAAAGAACTTACAAAAATCTCGAACAAAGGGTGCAGTTGGAATGCGATGGACAGAGAATACCCTTGCCTAGCTTACAAGGAATTGTTATACTGAACATTCCCAGGTAATTTTAGTTCTCTTGAATAAATTATACATTTAATTATTTCATTATTATGAAATCGTTATTCAGATTTATGGGAGGCATCAATTTCTGGGGCGGGACCAAAGAAGACGACATCTTTATAGCACCGTCGTTCGACGATAAGATCCTGGAAGTTGTTGCAGTGTTTGGATCAATGCAGATGGCAGCATCAAGAATGTTGAAATTTCAGCATCATCGAATAGCACAATGTCAGAGCATACAAATTAATATTCTTGGTACGTTAGAAGTTTTACAATAAATCATAATTATTATTAATATTTCTACTATACTGTATCTCCAGGAATGGATTTTATCGGATGAGGCTATGAGCATTGATTGTCTCTATTGTCAAGCTATTTTTTTAAGATATATTTTTTTCTTTCCGGTTTGTTAAAATTATCCCAACAGTTCATTTATTGTTGTTTCCTGTAGGTGAAGAGGGAGTCCCTATACAAGTAGACGGCGAAGCATGGGTTCAACCACCAGGTATTATACGAATCTTGCACAAAAACCGTATGCAAATGCTAGGCCGCAGCAGAGCATTGGAGAATTCCTTAAAAAGCTGGGAAGAAAAACAACGTCAGAGTATTGCCGGACAAGGTGGTGCTAAACCGAGACATTCCATATCTGGTGCCAGTCATGATAAATCCAGAAGCAGTGTCACTAGACAAAGTATGCCTGGACAAGCTACTGATACTTCTAAGAGTTTCTTGGGTGTGACTGTTGAGAAAATACGTCAACATTCGTTTAGTGGAGCTGTAAGTGGTTTTGAACTAAGTATAAACATTTTTATTCCATGATTTTTGTTATGAAAGCAATAACTTATTTACTTAATCGTTTCTTAGGTGCCTCATATAGAAAAAGAAAAGCATTCAGTTACTTTTGTTGACCAGCCAACAGAACGACTAGATGCAGAGATTCTGTTTGGTGAAGAAGAACATTATTTATTGCTTAATTTCATCGAATGTACTACCTCACTTAGCAAACTAATAAAAATGTTGGCAATAAGTTATACTTTGGAGGTAATTATTCTCAAAAAACTGCAATTAAACTGATGCATAAACAATTATACCTCATTTTAGACAGATCTGTATTCGCTGACAACAAACACGGACAAGGCGCTTGAAAATATCCATCCTCACGGCAAACTTCTGACTGGCCCCGCCTTGCGAGTAGAATTTACAAAATTGGTAGAATCAGCAAAGCAACTGTTCGAAGAAAGTTTCTGTTTATTGCACGAGAGAAGCGACAAACTGAAACTCAGAGAAGATTTGGAAAGTAAACTTAGCGTCAGTTTGGCAAACATGGAACTAGAATTAAGGCAATGCGTTATGTCTGATACTTCTGAAGGAAGCTTGGTTAGCAAAATATGGCAAAGTTAAATTAAATTTTTAAAATATTTTTTTTACTGAAGGTTTACCTCCAACCTGTACCAGAAGAAGGCGAGCATAAGAAGAAAAGCTTGTTTTGGCTCAAGTTCCGTAGAAGTGCTTCATCAGAGCGTCGTTCATCAAGTTGTAAGCGCGAGGTGTCATCTTGGGGTACGCACGAAGTGGCAACATGGCTTGATACATTGCAGCTAGCAGAGTACATTGATAGCTTTGAGAAGAACGACATTCGAGGTCGCGAACTGTTGACTCTAGCAAGAAGAGATTTGAAAGACTTGGGTGTGACTAAGGTAGGTATTCTTTGTGTATTATGAGAAGCATCGTATTTTCTCGATGCTAGTCCCCAAAAAAATTTGACACTGCTAACCAGATGTGTTTTAAAAATTCGTTTTAAATGCTTGCAGGCTATTAGCGTAGCAGTTTACAGTATTTTTATTTTTTTTGTTCCAAAACAAAGCATCAGTGACATAATAATATAAATCTGTACCACAACTTAGTTAACGCACGAAGGTTTGTTCGCATCGTCCCTAATTACTGGGCATCAATGAACAACAAAATCAATCCTTCCGAGTAATTACTGTTAGCAGATATACTTGTTCAAAACTCCTGAAACTCAACTTATTTGCTGTGATGGCAACATTGTTTTTGGTCGGGGGGAAGAAAAAGTTATGACTATTGACTTCCAATGAAACTTACTAGAATTTTACCTTTATGATTTGTAGATTGTAGATTGTGGAGGTAGTCGTTTCGGCTTTCCAGCCACTCATTACTGCTACCTTTGCAGCTATTTTGTATGTGACTCTACATCTTAAATTGTCTCCAGGAAGCTTAGACTTCCACCGAAGAAAGCTATTTTTCTAAGTGTCAGTTGGCCCACTTCTTCTGATGACAGTGTTGTCCCTCGAGGAATTTGAGCCTTTTGCAGAGTTGGGCTGGACATTCGCATTGCAGGTGCTCTGCGGTCTTAAGTGGTATTTCATCAGGCATTGTCCTATGAGCAGTCCTACGACTATTCTGATGTCGAGTTTGCTCATGTTTAGGTGCTATTCAGCTCTTTTTCCTGGAAAAGGGTGATTAACCTTTTTGACTGTCTTACTCCCGGAGTGTACCTCCAATATGATGACAGTTGGTCTTTCTCCCATTTGTTGAGTTCTTCGATGACATGGCTTTCCATTAAGCGACAATAGGGCCATTGTATGGTGTTGAGGCTCTTCTTTTGCGAGTACATCTGCTTTCACGATTTCTTCTATGCCTCGATGACCAGGCAGCCACATCAGCGTTACCTCGTTGTGTGTCACTAGTGTTTTTAGGGTCAGTTTACACTCCCAGACTAGTTTTGAGGTGCATTTGAAAGCCCTTAAGGCAGCTTGGCTATCTGATAGTATGAATATGTGTTCTCCTTTGAGGCTTTGGTTTAGACACTCTTGTGCACATATGTTTACGGCAAGCAGTTCGGCTTTAAATATTGTAAGATGTTTGTCCGATACGTTGGAGAGCTTGAAGTTAGGGCCGGAAATACCCAGTCCAGCCCCCTCCGTCAGTTTGGATCCATTTGTGTACCGTAGAGATGTATTGTCTGCTTGTGGTGATTTTTTATTCTCCCATGATTGGCGCTCGTTTATTACCACTGCGAATGGGATCTCTAAGTCCAATCTGACCATCACGTGGTCGCTTGGTTTGCTGGCATTCTCCAGTTCTATTATTTCAAAGATGTACAGATGTCCCCTCAGATCACCAGGCTTGAACTTGTCTGTTCGGAATAGCCTGTGAACGCTGATCATTATCTCTTTTTTTCATACAGGTGAAGTGGCATGTTAAGCAGCGTCTCTAGGACTCTAGAAGCCGTTGTACCTTGTTTAGCTTAATCTGAGCAGTAACTTGCTGAGTTTTGGGCCACCATACCAATCAGACGAATGTGACCATGGGCTTTATTATAGTTTAGTAAATCCAGAGTATCATCTTTGGCTTCAGCCAACCAGTTTGCGGCATGACCAGAAGGCTGATATAGCTCTAGAATATGTATTTCCTAACTGTTTGTTCCTAGCGAGTGTTTGGTCTAGGGTGTCCCTCAAGTATTTCATTTCGTTGGAAAATGTTAGTTGTGTACCGTTGAGGGTAGGGGCTTAGCTGATTATGATCAGCTATCGCCTCGGATCACAAACTCCAGCCCGGCCGTTATTTGCTACTTATCGGCCTTATAACGTTAATAACTGTTTCCGTTATGCTCTCGATGATTATGCTTGATATGGTAGTTAATTTTTTTTTTTCGTTTTCAATCTTGAGCATGTTATTATTCAAAGAAGGTAACACTCATGTTTTTTTATTAGTCAAATAGCCCCAAGTTCAAGAAAGTGAAAATGTGTTTGAGATATTTTTTCAATAAAATAAAAATTAATGAATACATTTTATAAATATAGACCAGTTTGATCATTTGATAAGTAATTAAGGAAGTTTTAGAATTCTCTATGACTCACTGCAACATACTGAATGTTTCTGTTATTTGTATCTACTAACCGCTCCCCTATGTATTGTCTAAGAGAGTTGTTGAATGGTTTGGAGGTGCTATTCAGTCAACTCCCCCTTTTGCCTCGATGGTTTGCCCAATACTCGAAATTCAATTCAAAACATTTTAATGAGTTTTAATCTAATGATGCATGTTGTGGAACCAACCAGGATATCTGATACTTACCAGCGATTTGGGATTATGTGTGTTCTAATTTTGAGAATGTTTCCTGTAAGGTTTTGGAAGCTTCACTTTGTGATAATGAAGCGGTATTGTCTGTTTTCAATTTATCAACAGAATCATCTCTGTTGTCAACGGGGGTTTTGTGAACCTAACTTCGCATTTAGTTTTGCAATATCTGTGAGGAGACTGTATGCGGGAACCCACTAGATTATTTCCACAGTGCCTTGACTCTTGACCAAAACCTTCAATCAAGCCTCTCCTACCGTCACAACTAGAGAGAAAAAAAACCGGTGGGAAGGGATGGCTTACCGGAGGAATTAGGATATCTGCAAGAAAAATGCGCTGTCTGCCTATCTCGGAAAGTTTTGCCGTAATAGTGCATTGCTTTTGTCCTTGTTCACAAAGTAACGAAAACTGACTGGCGTTTAAAAGAAGTGACTACCCTTCCCGAAATAAGCGACATCTTTTAGAGAAGCGCTGAATACACGTTTGATTTGAGTCTTTGCTGAAAATGACAGCAATCACCTCGTTGTTTGGCAGATTTTGATTAATTTTGTGATACAAACAGTATAATTTTCGAAAATTCTGTTCTATTTATTTTTTCCAGCATTTTACTATCCGAAATTTTGAAAATTTATTGTTGGTGTGCTACTCTATGTGTTTATCCCTTTTTCATTTAAATCCGTGACCAAAATTTGCATATTGTTGTCAACAAAATTGGTAATAATTTTATTATTTAGGCGTAGGCGTATTTTGCAACCAAAAATGCTTCGAACCATACTCCAATCTATTATTGTTGAATTATTATTATTATTATTAAATTTTAAAAGGTCTGTAAATGACGTTTTATTTAAACGCCTTTGACAAGGGTATATTTCCTAATATCGTTAAGCATGCAGTGGTTGTACCTTTTCACTTGAGAAGCTAAATAGTCAAAATTAGAGTTCTTTCATTCTTCAATCTAAACAGATCCCTCTCCGATAATCAATTTTGCTTCCATTATGGCAAAGGAACATCTGATGCGATATTCTCTCTTCTGGAAGACATTTATTTGAGTAGAAATGAGAATCACCTTTCAGCAGCGGTATTTTGGGACTGTGTTTTCGAATAAAATGAGCAACAACTCCGGTGTGTCTGAGGGCTCTAGCCTTGATATCCTGTTGTTCTTGATCTATATTGATGATCTAGCCTCTCTTATGGTCGGGAAAATTATTAGACTTTTCGCTGACGACGTCGCATCCATTGTCTGACATGCGAACAGTGGCGAATTCTTGGAACGCATGATTAATGTCGATCTTAAATTTGATAAAAACCTGGTGCGACAGCAACAATCTATCCTTCAACATATCTAAGACCAATATGTTAAACGTCAAGTACTCATTATCCAATATCTCCTTATGTGGTGATTCTATTCATCCCACCGCCTAGCTCGTGCTAAGTTTCTTGGAGTTACAGTGGACGAAAGTCTCAAGTTTGCGCAGCATATTGTGGCACTCTCTAGTAGGTTATCATATAGCTGTTATGCTTTGAGAATACTCTCAGAGCAGTTAGAGCTGCGAGCTCTCAGGACCGTATATTTTTCTCTGGTGGATTCACACATTACTTTTGGAATTTCATTTTTGGGTTGTCGCAGTACTACAAAGTTCAATTCCATATTTATTTTACAAAAAAGGTTCATGCTTCAAGTTCTGTTCCGACAATCTTGCAAACCTAGCTTCACTTCTCATAGAATAACTGTGCCATGCTTATATGTACAGGGTGTCCCCGTTCAACTGGTCAAAAATGCTAGGGTATAGTAATTTGAGATAGGACACTGATGGTCGGAAGTGTGTCGTGTCCAAAATACAGGGTATTGAAATTTAAACAACCCCCTTTCATATCATGTGAAAGGCTAATGCTAGGCTGGTCAAATTTCCAGGAATTACCTATTGATTTAGGAATGATATTTAGGAATTCGTATAATGCACCCCCATGTTCTACTTGGAACCAAGCCAAAAAAAAATAAAAAATTTGAAACAAATTGCTTTTTTTTCAAATTTTATTTTTTATTCATTTTATATCATTCCTAAATCAATAATCCCTGGAAATTTGACCAGCCTAGCATTAGCCTTTCAGATGATATGAAAGGAGGTTGTTTAAAATTGAACATCCTGTATTTTGGAAACGACGCACTTCCGACCATCGGTGTCCTATCTCAAACTACATCTCTATGATTCCTCATAAAGTCCGTCGATTTTAATCTAATACTTCAAAAAATGTGGGCTGGTGGATCCCTACGTTTGAACGCCAATGGTCACCTGTTTTTACCATATACTTCACCCCCTCGCTCCTCATATGGAAAGTGTCAGATTAAAATCGACGGACAATATACAGGGTGTCCCACAGTGGATGGCGTATTAGACGTTTATGGAAAACTAAAAAGCGGATCATTTTGAAAATTTGGCAACCGGGATAAACGCACTGATCTCAAAAATAAATGGATAAACAAAGAACGCTTCTAATGCTGCTAATTTACGAGGTCAAAATCTAAACAAAAACAACTGACTGGGACAGCTGTGAGCGTGCGCAGTAGATACATGTATTGTGCGTGCACAAAATCTGGCCAATGAAAATGAAGGAATTTCAAAATTTAGAACAGATGTTCGAAAGATAAGACACTGCGCAGGCGTTAGGCTGTTCCGTTGCACAACTGTTCGTAGAATATTGACCCCAAATTTTCGCACAAATTTTGCCAATCAAGCCGTATGAATTGTTTATCCATTTATTTTTTAGATCAGTGGATAAACGACAATAATCTACACTTTAAAAATATTTTTGTTTATGCGGTGTTGCCGCTTCTACTCTAAACCAGCGGCAACATCGCTATTTTAAATGGAACACCCTGTATGTGATTGCATATTTGGATTCTGCGTAAAATTCTGAACCGATTTCATGGAATATACCCTATACCTAAGTTCAACTGTTTTGGAAATATTGACAGTTGAAAATCGACTTTTTGCAACTTTGACAGGCTGTAAAACCTAAACGGTTAAATTTGGTCAATTTGGAGGAAAACCGATTTTACATTCCTATCTTAGATTTTCATAAACTATCATTTGATACCAACTTTGAATTTAACCGAAGATTAAATTAATTTAATTGGAATTTTCAATCATGAATTAAATTCAAAGTTGGTGTCAAATGATGGCTTATAAAAATCTAAGACAGGAATGTAAAATTGGTTTTCCTCTAAAATTAGGCAATTCAATCCATCTGTCAGACAGGGAAATTCAATATGGCGTGGCGGCCAAGCAAGTTTGTTTTGAATGTGTTTTTATGCGTATTTCAAATTATTTTGCTTAGAGTTTTGCTTGCAACTTTGATTTGGACTATTTAATAAAATATTTGTTGACTAGGTACCTAAACTAACAAATCGAGCAGATTCTAGATATTTTTTTCTGTTTTTTGGCCCATGTGTGGCCGCCACGCCATCTTGAAAGTCACGTGGTTTGAATTGCCTAATTAACGGTTCAGGTTTTCCAGCCTGTCAAAGATGCAAAAAGTCAATTTTCAACTGTCAATATTTCCGAAACAGTTGAGCTTAGGTACAGAGTATATCAAATGAAATCTGCTCAGAATTTTACGCAGAATCCAAATATTAATCACATACAGGGTGTTCCATTTAAAATAGCGATGTTGCCACTGGTTTAGAGTAGAAGCGGCAACACCGCATAAACAAAAATATTTTAAAAGTGTAGATCATGGTCGTTTATTCCGGTTGCCAAATTTTCAAAATGATCCGCTCTTTAGATTTTCAATAAAGGGGATGTGACCCAAAAATGAAAGTCTTAGAACAAAACAATCTAAGAATAAATATTTAAACCGCATCTTGCTACGATGGTTTGTTGTCGAGTTAGGGCGGTTTGAAGTTACAACTAGGTGCTTGTGACGTCACGCCGGATTATCAGGCACAGTATTAACACGTGTAAAAAATTTCCAAAACAAAAGACAATAGGCTCCTTGCATCAATTTTTTTTTTATTGCTGATTTCGATAGTCCATGAAAAATAAGTCAACACGTGTTTTTTCTTTTGCTTCTTACTCAAAAATTGACGGAGATACAACACTATGAAATCTGCCTATGACATCACTTATCTAATAAATAAGTGACGTTGCACATGTTCAGTATATCTATATATACAAAACTTAATATTTGAATAACTTCCGGAATAATCATATTTGGGCGAAATAAAAAAAAAGTAACGATTTTTTTTCGATTTCCTACAGTTTGCAATAAACAATAATCAATTTAATTTTCCATGCAAGTACCTGCATAATTTATCTTCAGAAGGAATTTTCTCGGAGACTATTTTGAGCTTAAGTCCTTTTTTAGCGTCTAATACGCCATCCACCGTGGGACACCCTGTATACCCTAGCATTTTTGACCAGTTGAATGGGGCCACCCTGTATATACTCGAAAGTGTTTGCCTGGTCTATAGAAAATACTATGATCAACTTTCTTGGTCTTGGACAAGGCACTATTCCACTAGGCAAGCTCATAATATTCCACTGCCAATTCCCAGAAGAAAGCCTTCAATTTTCTTCCATCTAACGTTAAGCCTTCACGTTCATACAGGAGGTTTAGAAAGGGGGTAAAGGAGTTACTCTTGACTAAAGCCCACTATAATGTTGAAGAATTGTTTGAAGACACCTTGTGAACATATTTTTAACGTAGGTAAAATTTTTAATGATTGTTCTTATAGATATTAAGTTTTACTATTTTATTATTTAAGTTGATAGGCTTTGTCAATGATTTTTTTTTTCTGGACAAAGTACATACTTTTTGATTTGATTCGATTCATGAAGGTTGTTCTAAGCCAGTTTGGCAATCAGCTTCCTACTCTATACATATATAAACACATTTTTATTCGATACATACATTTTGTCCAATAACACTATGAATGTGTATATATTTTTTTAAATTTAGGTTGGACACGTGAAAAGAATTCTACAAGCAATCAAGGATCTTTCTCAAGGAGGCTAAGCACAAAACTCGAATTTCTACCAGCCACAGCTTTCCATATCATCTACCTCGAAGAGGGTTATAAGCGAAACAATTTTCAAAAGTTCATTAGATTATAAAGGACATTCTGTTTTTATCATTGAAAAAATGATTTTTGTTGTTTCTATAATACTACTGAGAATGATACCGTTGTCAAAGATATTTAAAATTTTAAGTTACATTCGGATAGTTTAATTTATCTACTTTTTATAACTTATTTATCTTTACAATGCATCTAGGTATTAATTTCTATAATCTATTCTATGCATTTACTCTTTCAAATACATGTTTAATGTGAAACAATTATATTTATATAGTCCCACTGTGATTTCCAAAATGTGTTACTTCTTAATCATAAGTAAATCTAGGATAAGTTAACTCTACCTTTTAAGTCAACCCTTCACTATACGACTTTTGATATGTACTTTCATAACGTAACATGCCTTATTTCACACAGTCACTTAAAAAATTTGGTTTTTAAAATATTGGTGCGTACATATTTGAACGAAAGAAATATCAAAAAAGTACCAATCGTAGATTCAGTAATTGACAAAATTTAAATTGTTACTGTGCATTTGTCGATCGTTGAAATACATACTCTGGAATGCACTATAAGTATTTACGTGAAAAATTTAGATTATAATGTTAATTACGAAATTCTAAATTTAAAGCAATTGTATGTACTCCTAATTATTATATCCCAGCAATATAGTAACTCGTTCTACAGTTTTATTGATATAATTGATAGTCTTCGAGAATAGGTGTGGAGTTTGAGATGATCTTAGAAGTTTCCAAATCTGGAATATTTTTGGTATTATGATGAAACAAAAAAAAAAAAATATCTTTAAATGAGAAAATAGAAGCTGAATTTTTTGAAATTCGATTTAATATAAATGCTAAGTAAACTCTTGTAACAGGGTAGTTCTTTTTCGAATTGACAAAATATACAAAAGGCATTTGGCAGTAAATTTGGAACAAACTGGTCATATTTAAACTCCATAATACCTACTCAAATACATACTTCCTTATGTGACTTCCATAGTTAGGTATAGTTTACTTTGAGATTGCGAGGAGATATGTGCTGACAATCAATCTGTGACATCTTTAGTACGTCATATGAAATGAAAATCTTATTTTAGTAATTATTACTTATCATTATCCTTTTGTATATGTAAAACCTAATATTTTTCCAACATATTGATTTTCAAGCACTGTTTTTTGAAATTTAGTTAAGTGACAAGTAACTCTGTTTATGTTAGCATAATTTTATTTATTTTCATCCACTTACTATGATCTGAAATTAACTTTTATTTATCATCTAATTAAAAACTAGCTAGACGGCCCCTCAATAATGATGGTAGGTACCAGGTTTTACTATTCCAAAAATGTAATTGATTACTGTTTTTTTTTTTTTGGATTTCAAGTAGTAGGCGAATATTTAGATTCATGAGAAGGCCTCATAGATATTTATAGGCCTAGTCTCCATTAATGATGTTAGTTTCTTCCCCATATATTAATTCTCAAATTTTATAGCGTGTTGACATCTCTTTTGCTATTCTTCCTTGCAAAATGTGGAGAAAAAGAATTCACCTAAAATTTATCCACTTGTGTAAAGGTAGAATTTACATTTCTATCAGCTACATATTGTTTTAAGGCTGCCTGATTAACTCGATTGGGCAAATCTGGGTGATATGGAGGACTCCTCGAAACGGTGAACCATGCATCTCCCATAATATATATTGTAGCAAAACGCCCCAAGTACTCTATGTAATTGGTTAGATGGTAAATGGCGAGCGGTATATTGATGGTGTTTATTTCCTTGGAGCTGCTACCTATAAAATTGTGGAAGGGTCTATTAGCAAAAGAGAAAAACAAACTATTGAGGTTTACTAAATTATATTTTATTATACATAAAACCAAAAATTTAAATCAGCAAAATATCTTCCAATTCTGACAACCACATCTATTTTTCTAAGGTCAATTACTTCACATCCGTTCAAATGTCATTATTACAGACCGCTGAAATATCCATACAAATAAAGAAACGCCCCTTTCCTACTATTCCTAATAACTTATAAGTTTGTTGATTTCAACACTTCCGATTCATTCCTATTATACTAGCCTTCACCTATTTCTATGAATTCTTTAAAATTTCTAAGTCCTTTACTGACTGCTTATGAGAAACCATAATAATTACCTATTTGTTTATTAATATAGGTATTACTAACTTATTCTTATGAAAAAACCTTACAATAATACTTGAAAAATAAAACCCTAATTCAAAATTTCGGCACTTTAGATCATCAATGTTTCTTTAAGAACAACAAATTTCAAATAAAAACTTTTTATCAATTTAATCAGAACAATAGCTAACATACAAAATTATTTAAATTCTTATTAGTTCGTTACTATAGCCCTTAAACTTCAATTGGACAATCCAATTAAAAATTCTCTAATAATCCCTACTCAAATCGATACTTGTTAAGTGCATTATAAATTCCCTTCATATTTTCTTTCCAAAATTAAATTAGGATGTCATTATATCTGAAGGCAATTAAAGGTATGCAATAATGTTCCATAGTCAAAACACTCGAGTATTACTATTTATGCAATAAAGTTCCCAAGTTAATTCACTTCATAGTCATTCATCATTTATAAAGTCAAAAAGTTTTACTAGTAAAAATCACTCAAGTTTTTAGGTTTTTATGATGACTTTTAATAGTCATCATTGTCAATTCACTTCTTACCATTCAGATTCATTGATAAGAGTCAGAAAATTATTAACCACTAAAGTACTTACATTTAAATTGTCACTCGGTAAAATACTTAATTAATTACTTTAAAAAAAAAAAATCTCTAGAGCAAGCACATAATTTTGAACGTACTTTTTCTAATTTAAATTAAACCCGAGGCTATACGCCATAAAAGAAACTTTTCGCGAAACCGGACTGATACATTAGGTACTGTAGACTTTAACTCAAACTGGACTGGACTGCGAACTCATCTGACCACTCTGATGATCTCATTTGAAACCGCGGTATTTATATTATTCGATCCCCCCAAAATTTCTTTGTCCATAACAATTAAGATGATGCAATCTTCTTGAAATTTTTTGTCATTTTTATTTGTTTTATGTCGCAATTTCCTGATTTTATCGCGGTGACGGATATTTTTGGTTCAAGAATGCCATAAATCATCGCTTTAATTAGGTACGATGGCCTCGCTTAAAAGTTCATTAATATATGATTTAGGAGATGACATCACGCTGGACGAAATAATATAATTTCGAATGTATTTGGGGTCACGTTAATTTGTTCCATTTTCGATTTATTGATACTGATTTGAAATACCGGAAATTCAGTTTTTGATTATTTGATTATATTTGATTTTTACAGTAAAAACATTGTAATTTACGGGTCTATTTTTCCGGATAATTACAATATTATCTATTTCGTAGGGTTTATGAGCTTTTAAAGTATATAAATAATTCTGCTTTCCACATGTTGTCTTTTGGAGATGGAATATTTTATTCTCTTATCCATTTCTTATGTCATCTTTTCCGTTCGCCGAAGTTTGACATTTATGAGCCTGCGCCCACGAAACCCTGCGCCTGAACGTTGTGGTATGGTGAATTGTCTATAACCAGCACGCTGGTAAGTTGGGTATTAGTGTTTCTTTTACCCATTTTGTATAATTACTGTGTGTCTAGTGTCAATCGCTCGACTTGGTTCCAGATTCGAGTAGTAACCTTGTAGGAATATTTAGTTGTTTTTTAACAAGTTGATACATTATTTCAAATATTATTATCTAATAAAAACAGGGTTACAGCAATTAATAATTAATACCTATTTAAATTTAAAATAATGATGTGTGTTTCAAATTAAAAGTTCAAATAGACCAGATAATTAATATTGGGAGTGTGTGATTCAACACTTAAGAAAGCCTTAACTGTAGGGTATAGTTATTAGTGTTACTGGGTATAGGACTTGAAAAATAAAACTCACCTTTTTTAAAAAGACGAGTTTCATTCTTCTCAACTCATTATATTTACTCAAGAACCAAGGATGATATCTTTAAACAAAGATACCATAATTAGGTAAATAAGTTAAATTGTACCATACTACTAGCGTAGGTGTATACGGAATAAATAAATTTCACTCTAGTTTGTGACTAACCATGCGCATTTCATGTTCGTTTTCAAAAAATGGTCAGTTGTTTTTATTTTATCAACATGAACGGGTAAATATTTAAAGAGAAGGTTTTAAAAAAATTGTATATCACATGATTTATACACTAAGTTTAGGTAGAATCAATGATTACAAACTGATTCAATTTCTGGTGCAACTATTTCCAAAAAGCGAGTCTAAAATTCCTAACCTTCGCACCTATAGGATAAATTCCCTTGCCGCCCACATAATGACTCACCTTTTCCCTCGATGGTCAACTCCATTTTATAGCACGTCGTGGCCTGTAGCCTCTATAAACATCAAGTTGACTTGAGAGATTGACCAAAATTAATCTATAACACTACAATATAATTTCTCAAAACACTTTCGGCAGGATTTTCCCAGGTCGAAGCTATATCATTCATATTTTTCCCGGATAACTTTTCGCATCCGCCTCTTGGAGTATACACCATGTGAACTACATTTTAACATGACGCTTAGCAATTTATGAATATACATAATATAACATAATGTATAATGATCTCAGAATAGGTTTACGCACCATTGACCATTATTGACCTTTTTTATGATATTTTTACTTAAGTGCTTCTGTATTTATTTATTCGACTAATAAAGCTATATAAAAGTATAGCTCCTGAAATACTTATACAATGGGAACTGTGAAAACAGGGTTATGTAGGTCCTAATTAGCTAACTATTAAGCAAATGGATTTAGTATTTTCTTCCAGGCATTGTGGGGCAATTTTTAGTTCAATAGGTCTTCCAGCTACTAACTAACTTAAAACTAAAAATATA